TGTGTGTGTGTGTGTGTGTGTGTGTGTGTGTGTGTTCACTTGGGCTAATGTGTATGCAGGTGCGCATGTGCACATGTTTTTGCATGTGTTGTGGGCACACATGTAAGTGAGTGCTTCTGCTTGTGTGTGCATGTGCCCACGGTTGATGTTGGGAGTCATCCTTAATCGATCTTCTACCTCATTCACTGAGGCACTGTCTCCCAGTTAAACCCAAACTCACCAACATAACTGGGGTTGCTAGTCAGCTTTCTCTAGGGATCGTGTCTCTGAAGCTTGAGTAACAAGAAGGTTGGCATGACCACCTGGAATTTACCTGAGGTTTTAGGATCTGAACTTAGACCCTCCCACTTGGATAGCAAACACTTTGGCTGCTGAGCCATATGTGTGCCCTTGTTCTGTCTGGATCGTTATGAATTTTAGGCTAGCCTGAGCTACAAAGTTCCAGGAAAGCCTGGACTATAGAGTAAGAACCTCCCACCCCCATCTTGAGAAACAAAAACCAAAACGAAGAGGGGAAGAGAAGACAGGAAAGGAAGGAATCTGCACTCCCTGCTGACTCTCTGTCTCATAGGAACCTTTGTTTGGCATATATGGCAACAAACCCTTACCCCACCCAGCCCAGGGCCAGGCACACAGCAGCACGGTTAAGGGCAGGGCACCTGGCCGTCACCCATCACTAAAGTCCTGGTCTCTGCAAGACCGTCCAGTGGGAGGACAAAGCTCCAGTGTTTGAGGAATGAATGTGCTATTTGGTTCGGGTGCCCTGACAGCACACATGGCTTGCTAGAAACACTCTGTATGGTGGTCCTTCAACAGTACCATTGGTGGTAACTCACATCCTTGTTCTCAGAGTGGTGGGGTGGCTGAGAGGATAGCTAAGAGACACAGGGTCCCAGGAAGTAGGCCAGGATATACAGGCCTAGAGGCTACCTGTTGGGATAAGTCTACAGTGATGTTCCTGGGTGGCATTTACCCTCATGGCTAATTTGTCAGTGACCCCCTCAATCTGGGACCCTCTCAGATGCTCTCAAGAGCAAGTTAGCCTCAGAGTGCTCATCTCGAGTTCTAGGGCTCTCTGAGTCCTCCTGGGGCTACTCGGGTTGCCTTAGGACCCCTGGCAGAAGACAGAAGTGGTGACAGGAAGCCAGCCCAAGCATGAGGGTTTCCCAACTGTGATTCCTTCTAGAATGTGGCCATAAAAGTGACATCACGGAGCAAGAGCAGGTCCAGAGAATCCTCCACTTCACTGGACTCTCGTGGCGTCACCTTGCTACATTGGCCCAATCTTGACTTGGGTCTTTGCCTCCCTGCCGTCACCTGAAAGCCAGAACTCTTAGTAGTTTCCCCACTGTCCAGACTGAATTTACCCTCCCTGTCCACCCTGTTGTCAGGAGCATCTCTCACCAGTGCCCCCTCCCCTGTTCAAGGCCACGAGCAGCTTCTCTCTGAGCTTAAGTTTCTCGGGCAGTCTAAAACACATTAGCAGACTATGCCCCAGCTAATACTGTGGCCATATAGTCCCTGAAGGAACAAGGACTCTGACACAGAATGGGGCCAGCCCAGCCTGTAACATGCACTCATCTCATCATGGTCTGAATCCTGCCTATTTGCAGAAGCTGTTTCAAGGGGCTTCTAGAGGTGGTCATCCTTTCTGCCTTAGTCACATTGCCGTACAAGATGAGAGCCGCAGTTTTCTCCTCTCTCTAGACTGTGGTCCCAGGAACCAGGTTGCCTTTGTCATCTCCAGCTGCAGCGTTGGCACTCAGGCCCTGCTGGGTGATGTTCCCTATATCCCTAGTTGAACAGTGAAGGAGATCATTTAGAACAGTGTGGACTGCCTCTCTCTTGGGCCCAGGTGTGGAAGGGGAAGCAGGCACAATGAAAATTAGCAGGAGGGGCTGAATGACCCAGCAAAGAGGACATGAAGGAGGAGACCTAGCAGGGGAACCAGTCACCAGCCTTCCCTGTCAAGCACCTGCCGCCTCACTACTGATAGTGTACTTCTCGGTCTCTCCAGATCCCCAACGTTTGCCGGTGGCCTCTTCTCCATCTCCAAGGCCTACTTTGAGCACATCGGTACCTATGATGACCAGATGGAGATCTGGGGAGGGGAGAATGTGGAAATGTCCTTCCGGGTGAGGATGAAGAGGGCTTCAAGCGGGAAATCGTAACATCTCAGCCGTGTCTTGACAAGCTGTGTATCAGGCATTGATAGCCTGTCATCTCTGGAACTGAACCTGCCGTGGCTCCACTGTCCCCTGCCAGGGTGGTAGGCTCTGGAGATGAGTTCAATGGCTTGAGCAAAATTCCAGGGCAGAACTTCTAAGAGGTTAGGGGTCGTGGGAGCAGTAAGGATCAAATTCAGGAAACGGACTGTTTTATGGAGAATGTGGGAACTGGTTTGGGTGGAAACGGAAGTGGGTCAGGAGCCAGTGTACCATCCTCCATTTTGGAAAAATCAGTCTCCTCTTCCCAAGTCAAAAGACACCTGCCCTGGTGGCCTTTGGGTTTTCCCCATGTGCTTTCAACAAGCTCTTCATAACCAAGAGGCAAGAGGTGGAACCCAGTTCTGATGGAGGCAGAACTCTGAGGAATTCTGGGAATGAGGCAAATCAAGATAGGTCAGGAAGGATGGCCCTGAAGGCTGCATGAATCCCCAGGTAGCTTATTAACAGGAAAATGAGCTTGTTGATGGAGTCACCCAGTGCCTGGCGTATATTAAGTACATAATTGCCTTCTGATGTTACTATAGCTATGACTATGGACTTCTGTTATGGTCATATCGAAGTGAATAACAAGTAGCTCCCAAAACAAGACCCCAAAGAGCCCAGTGGGAGAAAGGTCTTCAGCCAGCCCGCTG